CATTCATAGACCATTAGTCATGGGATGTATTCCTCTTATCAAAAGGAACAGATTACTACACATCAGTTATCTATGGCAACTGCTGTGTTTAAATACCTGCTCTTACATCCTGTGGGTCAGTCTGCCCACCACAGTTACTGTGGATACACAATAACCGGATGGGTAGGATGGCTGGAGGGAAGCTGAGGACTGAAGTTTTAATAAGCAGCTAGAAGAATACTAAATACTTGCATAGACTTCTATAGTTGTGCAGAACATTCTCAAGATTTTGTTCAACGTTTTTGTCTGCGGGGTTTAAATGGGTATTTATTTAAGTTTTAAAGAGGTTTTAAATAAGTTCCTTTGCTTGGTGGAGCTAAACCAGACTTGAGGAAAGGTTTATTAAGAGCTATTTTAGGTACTACAAAGGAAATTTGAGAGATTGAATCAGCCTGTTCTATGCCAGATAAGAGCACTGCTACATTTAAGTAAGTTTACATTTAGATGGTTATTTGTGGGACAACTGTAAAAGTTTCAAAGCACCTAAAAATTAATTATTATACTTATCTATCAGAATGAATCACCATCTTCGAATCTGCCTATTAGGCTAGAAATTATAGCCCTAAACAAATACCATTACAATATCATTACCAAACAACATTACTGCCTTACAGGTTTGCAGACATTTTTATTGCAAAATGGAAGCATGTCATGAATCTCTATTGAGGGTAATCCCCTAATTACACAATTGCCAGAGAAATAACTTCCACATTGTCTTCAGAAAACAGTCATAAGCTACACACAGCTTCCTGAAGACATTTGAGGAGGAAGTATGAGGGAGGACAAAGCAGGAGTTACTCTTACTAAAGTGTCCCCCTTTACTCAGACAGGTTTTGTACAGCATCAAGTTCACCTTCCAAAAAATGGTTAGTACAAGAAAGCAGGGAAATGTGGAGAAGTTCTTCTTCACTGGATACAAATGACAAAGTTTAGGTGCAGGCATTCAGCATTCTCCCATTGTGAAGCCAAACTAGTTCTGCAGCGTCAGGGCAAAGAGAAAAAGGAACAGAAAAGTGACAGGAAAAGGAACATGGACAGAAACATTGCAGTTGCTTGAGTCTCTTTTATTCCCCTCCTCAAAAAAAAAAAAAAATCTTCACAGCGATTTGTATTTGACAGTGACTGACAGGTTTGGAATAACCATTCCACTGTTCATAACCATGGAAAAAAAAAAAAGTAACAGAAGTTGCAGAGGTAAGATCAGAAAAACCATGCATAAGCTTTTGCTCTTAGATGCTTATGGTCTTTCAGAGTTATCTTTTGTTTCTTATTAGCCCATCAAATGTTCTGTTCCTGTCCTCTATTCATGCTTATTTGTTACCTGTACTTTCTCCACTCACACACAATCTTTTGATATTCATTTTTCTGCTATGTAGCACTAGTGCCTTGTTCACCCCTATGCACATTGAATGATTTAGTGTGTCTGCTTCATTTCCTTCTTCCTTTAGTGACAGGTTGATTTAGCCATGACTCTTTCCTGAGGTTATTTCTGTTCCTCTGTTTTGTTTATGTACCAACAGATCCACTTAGAATAAACTTGTCTTTAAGAGGAGAAAGTAGACTCCCCTTTGTAAATAATTGCACTGTGAAGGAGATGAAAACCTCAGCTCTACATCAATGGGGAAGTATTCACCTGCCCAGTGAGAAAGCAAGTGACAGGCTGTGTTGGGTCTGTCTGGGATGGAGTCACTTCTCCCTGCAGCAGCCCCCACAGCGCTGTGCTCTGAACTTGTAGCTGGAACAGCACTGATATCACTCAAGTGTTGTGTCTATTGCTGCACAGTGCTGGCACAGCATCAGTACTCCTTCCAAGCCCCCAAGAGGGGGTGGGCAAGTGATGGGGAGGGGACATCACCAGGGCAACTGATCTAAACCAACCAAAGGGATATTCCATAACACCTGATGTCACACTCAGCAATAAAAGGGGTTTATGATCTTTATGTAATGCTAATCAGGAAGACTTGTATATCCCTGAAGTGAGAATTATTTTTTCAATTCAGCCCAAAAGAAACACGTAGGCAGTAACATTTAAAAATAATTTCTATTTTTGAGATTGCTATAGCTTGTTGAAGGGAAAAGGACTTCCAGTTAGAGTGCTACTAAAAAAAAAAAAAAAAAAAAAAAGAAGAAGAGGCATATAGTCTATTACATAGGCATTAGTAATTTGGTTCAGTTCCTCTTCATCTTACTGTATTACAAGGTTTGCTCTCCCCAAACTAAAATGAAAAATATCTCTTCCCCTCCCCCCTTTTAAAGTAAATAGGGATAGAAGAAATATTAACATGAACATATCAGAAGAAACAAACAAGGCATGCAACATGTATCCACATTTTGGCAAATAGAAGTGGAATACAGGTAGGTGGCAGAGAAAGCACTTTTTAAAAAATAAAAAGAACAATAAAATTGAACTTTACATCTAAACTTTTGAAAGTACTTACATGTGTACTTAAGTACTTAACAGAATACTTAGCTCTGTCACAATTGTCTGTGAAGTACGCAATCAAAATATATAGGGAATAAAATGCAGTGTGTAGTCATCTCTAGAATTCAATTCAATTTCTGAACAATTCATTGTTCAGAACCTGAACAACGTTAACATCCACATTAAACTCTAGGACATATTCAGAGAAACAGATCTGTATCTTCAAAATCTTATTTTCATCTGGGCACTACAATTTGCAGCCCTCCCACTACAGTTGTTATGGATTCTGTGACAATAAAACAAAAAGAGCTGCCATGACTTCATTTTTATATCTCAGTCCAGAGGATAAAATAAAAGGGCAGTTTACTGAAAGACAGTGTTCTGCAAAAGTGAACCTGAAGGCAGATTCTTCAATCTGCCTTGCTTCCTCAAACAATACACCTACCATTTATGATAACAGTTGGCATGACATCTTCAAGGAAACAGTAATCCAAGGTCAGCTCATGAAAGAAAGCTTTTACTGGAGGAAAACGTTACTGAACCTCCTGTGGCTGCCAATAGCATTATTGCTGTAAGGAGGCTTAGAAACTTTGACCTCAACACTGAAGTACTGATGAAAATGTGGAATTAGTACAATAAACTTCATTCATACTGTGTACGGGGCAGATAAAAGCGGACAAGCACAGTAAAGTTGCAGTATGCCAGCAGTCCTCTTCTAAATGAGATTATAGCAATGCTTTACTGGTTTTACAATCACCGAGACAGGTAAAAAGCCCAAGGAATTCACTCATGACTCCAGGTCTTACTCCGAGTGCTAGTCCCTCTTTAAACATTTCTTAACCCATGGGACAGGTCTATCCAAGGCTCGGCAACTCAATTACATGCAGCAGAACAGATATCCTTTTGCCAGCAGTCACATTTGGCAGCTATGCCATGAGTAAGGAAACTACAGCCTATTTACTTAATTTTCTATGGCCAGTGAATTCATGCTTCCCTTTTAGTATTTTTATTGGATAAAACTATATTCTATGTTAATGCAAGACTCCCTAAGTATCTGAAATACCTACTCAGATCCAGCAAGGAAGTTGTGCTGTTTATATTGTATTTGACATTCTTTTTCAGTTGCACATATATTTTACAACAACTATTACACTTTCTAGCCAATATTTGTATTTTCCATTTGGCAGCTCCAATCGCTTTTCATACTGAGTAGAGACAAAGCTGACTTGGCAGACTGCGTTTATCAACACTTCATTTGCTAAACCTTGTCAGTTAGAAAGCCAACTGTATTCTCAACAGTTCTAAAAACTAGACTTCTAGTTGTATAAAAGAAGCTTAAGAAGACTACAACACCCAAATAAGCAAGTCAGAAAGCATAAAGCGGTTGGGGAGAAAAATCAACCAACATCAAGAAAAAATAACAAACAAAAAAACACACACAAAAAACAGTTGAACACAAAGATGTTATTTGCAATCCCTACAGTGGAAGTTTATCTAGTGCTTTGTACTTCTTTAAAGAGAAGAGTTCCTTTTTTTAAAACAAACAAACAAACAAAAAAAAACAAAAAACAAAACCACGCTTCATGAATTCCCCAAATCTCTTCCATGTTGCTGTGCCAAGCAGGAAGTCTCGCACAGTCAAGAATCTGACCCATCATTCTGATATCGCCAAATTTAATAGTTATTCAAATATGGACTCCTAGAAGTAAAACAATTCTGTGCCCATCACCACCAGAAATAAGAATTTCACAGGACTTGTTCAGTCTTAAGTGATACTTTCTGAGGAAAAGCTTTTTTTTTTTTTTTTTTTTTTTTGTTGAGAAAGAACACAGTTACACAGGTTGGAATATTGGGAACAACTGCCCTGACAATAAATTGAAATAAGATACAAGACAAAGGTACAAGACAAAAAAAGCACGGTGAAAGCCCATTTTAATACTGACATACATAATCGTATGCACTCAGAAATATATTTGAATAGCTTTGCAATGCATGTTATTTATTTAAAAATAGATTTAATAATTATTTTTTAAATAACAAAGAAAACATATTTTAATACTGAATTCTTCAACCTTCTTAATCACACACTGGAACTTCAAACTACTAGGAGTTGAATTTAGTTAAGAGATTTCTGATAATTTAGCAAGAAATAGTGTTCAAAATAAACTGTAAATAAAATTTAATACTGTTTTTTAAAGATTTGATTACTTCACTATTGATCCTTTTGGTAGAATCACTTTGAAACTTTTTGTCTAATCTTAGAACTTTTCTTTGAGAAGATTCCTTTCAGGCCCCCTGCAAAATTGTCATTGCTAAGCTTGAGTCTTCAGAACATCACAATTAATGATCATTACCAAAGCTGACAGACCCAATGAAAGCTTTCATTGGTTGACAAACAAGGGTGTTGCAACCAATATAAGAAAATGATGGGGGCAGATAAGAAAATGAGATTTCATCTAACATCTCAATCACTTACTTTAAATGTGAAAATAAAGGACAGAACAGAGTGGAAAAATATATGAAGAACAGCATCACTTACCATTTCCTGAGATGCATATTTTGGGTCTTCAGGATCAACTGACCAATAGCAGTAATCAAAACTGAAGGCCACAGTCTTTTCTCTTGAGTCCCAAGTGCCATCAAGCCTACTGTCAGCCTGACAACAGAAGGAAAAGAGACAGATTTCACTTCGATTTTGACTAAAAAGTAAGCATTTTAAAAAATAATAGGAAATTTATCTAGGATCTGTATTGTAGAAAGGGAACAGCAAAACAGTTAATCCTCTTAATTCATTTTCCTTTGTTTCACAGACTGATGCAGGGAAGACCTGCTGAAGGGTTCAGTTACTATAGATAAGGTTCTTCAGCCTACATTAGCAGGAAGGCTCCACAACTCTTCCCATGTTTCTCAGTGAAACTGAAAAATGACAAGAGAACTGCATCAGAGAAGTAAGGCACAAAGTGAAAAGAACAAAAAAAAAAAAAAAAAGACTTTCTCACTCTCTATTTAAAAACACAGGCCTATTCTTATTTCCCCTTTGCTTTGTTGTGTTGGCAAGCTAATACATCTTTTGCTGTAACTGCACGCTACAGTGGCTAACCTCTTCCAGTTAACAGCAATGAGAGTGAAGCCTTTCTAAGCAGAGAAGTCAGAAATAATGACTGAAATATTGAAAATGAATCTACAGGCCCCTCTGACAGTTTTGCACATGTGTTTTGTTTTTTTATTAAACCAAGAAAAAACAAAATAAAATAAAAGTAATTTAAAGTTATCTTTAAATTAAAGGAATTTAATTTATTTTAAACACCACTTGATTCTAAAGTTGTTACATTGATACAAGTACAACCAAGATTTCCTTTAGCTGGACTTAATGCATTAATGAAACTATTGATCGTCTTCAGTAACAATGTTTCCACCATGTTGTGATTCAGAGCTCTTTTTATGCAGTTACCTTTTATTTCCTTAGATTTTCTGTAGAAACAGATAAAAATAGCTTGCAGCACTGCCTTCCCATGACAGCATGTGAAAAACAAATAAAAACAAACAAACAAGAAAAGCCCAAGATGCGCACAAAAAAAGATACCTCTTCACCTCAGGAAAATACCCTCCTGCCTGACAGAAGCAGATCTGCCTGTACCTTGTGAACCCTGGGATCTTCACTGACTTGCAGGGTTTTATTTTGTTTTGAACTAAAACCACCAAGTACCCCAAATGCAATGTCAACATTGGTATATAAATATTAGTTTATGCACTAGGGTAAACTCACTTGGCTTCATTAAAGGCTGTCTAAATTTAGTTTACACAGAAAACAAACTCACTCCCTTTATGAAACTCACCAATTATGTAACATCATGAGAGAAATGTTCACAGTCTGGCTCTTGTATTTCCAAACAACCCTACCTGGCCTGTTGAGCCCACTTTATCTTCCCAGCACCCCAAGGCAGCCCAAAGCTCCTCTTTAAAAAATAAAATTATAACCCACTAGGTCTCACAGGGCCCAGCTGGGCCCAATTACCCAGTGGCAGGACTGAGGCCTCCACCTGCCTGCAGAGGCCTTCCCAGCTGGGGCCTGCAGCGTTGCCATGGCAACCAAAGCCTTCCCAAGGAAAATAAGGGACAGCTTACAGCTGGAGAGCTTTATCACACATACAAGGAATTAGGGAAAGTTATTTCACGAAGCAGTGAATCTCAGACTCTGCAAAGACAGACTTGCAGAAAGCAAGTGGATCTGAGTGGTATTTTCACACCTGACTAGCAGGGAGGAAATGATCACGCACTACTTTTAGCCCTGTTTTCAGAGAAAGTGTTGTCCTACCAACAGCAACTCAGTCAGCCCAAGTGCCATAATTCTGACTGAGAACTAGCAAACCCTCAAAGCACCAGTGCCAATAAACAAATGACGTATACAGATCAGCAACACTTCACATCCATAAGACCTCCTATACCACTAATGCTTTTCCTTCTTCTGTCTTCAAAAAAAGGAACACCCACAGTGAATACCACAAAATCCCCAAGGAAAAAAAAAAAAAAAAAAAAAAAAAAAAAAAAGTAGAGTCCAAAACCATTTGTTCTATTTTTGCCTGGGTTTCTCTTCAAAACCTTATGTATTTCTTGAGTCAGCCTGCTAGAATAACTGGGTTGCTCACAGATATAAAGAAAAATGCAAACTGCATCTATCTTTTAGAATTCCCACTATCACCTCGGTAATTTCATCTATTTGCCTTTCAAGCAGACAGACGTTTCACAACACAAAATTGCTTGGTTCCCATTCCCATTGATTCAGTGAAGGAACGTGGCAGCATTAAATATTAGTATCTTTAAGGATAAGAGTCTAAAACACAGGGTTGATTCCCATGCATGTGAACTACAATGCTGTCAGTGGAAGACGGCTACATTAAATTTATTCTTAAAGCTCTTGGTCTTTTACCAAGGCCTGAAGCATAGAGCAAAAAATTCAGCTATCTCATGCAAGTCAGTTACACTCTGAGTATACATATGAGAGGAGGAGAGAAACACGGAAAGAACTCAACCAGATGTTAGTTACAGTAAGATAAGTGCAAAATCCTAAACAATTTACTAACAGCTTTGAATAATGGCATGCAGCCAGAGCACAGAAGCTTTGATAAAAGCAAAATACAGATAACAGTTAGATGCTACATTCCCCGTCTACAAACAAAAAGTAAAAACAACTTTCAATGCAAATCAAGTGCTGTGCAAGTTTAAATGTCTCCCTTCGTATTTCTTTTAAAGTGATCCAATGGTCAAACAGAAAAGCATCACATCAGAATCATTACACTGAGAAACAGAAGAAAACAGAAAGCATACCTTTATATTTCTTACTGTTGCTACTTTGTCATCAACTTCTACAATCACTCTTCCTCCTTCTGCACTCTCTCTGGAAACAAAACACATTCAAAGATTCATTTAAAATATGAAGACACAGAAAGACGCATTTCAAGCTCATAAAGCCCAGATCCATGCATTTACTTGAAAGACCTTCAGACCAGATATAAAACAAACACTTTATAAGCCAGTATAACAGGAAGTAGCATTCGCAGATCTGCATACAGGTATCAGAACAGCAAGAGGGAAGAGAAAACAGCACCGTGGCCAGTTTCAAAGTGCTTGTCCTCAAAAATAGAATAAAACAGAATTGTATTTCAGATTAAGAGTTATTATTCTAAACTATATTTATAAGGAAAAACAATGTAGGAAATGTAATATCACTTTTTAAAAACTGCACTGGCATTGCTACTATGAAGTAGAGCACAGCCCTTGTGGACTGGCAGTGTTCTGTAGCGTATAGATCCACATCACAGACCCACAAGCCAGAAGTTTTCATCAAGTAACACTAATTTTTACCACATAATCCAAATTGTTTGCTATAGTCCTCAAACAAGTTATCATTAGCAAAAGAAAACTGTCCTGAAATGTAAACATACAGGATTGTTCCACAAGTGCAAAGGACCGCGTACTCATGTATATACTTGCACAAAATCCCCACTGAACACAGCTATGACTAGAATCTACCAAATACAACTTCTGCTTCCAAAGATGAGTTGTATTAGAAAAAAAAATGAAAGAGGATGTGGAAAGAGTGAAAAAATAGAATGTGAACAAAACAAAAAACTTCACCAGCCAACACCATTACAGATACTTCAAGTTGTGTGTTCTTATTTACAGGAGCATTGAGTCTTGTCCTCCTCAACAATTAGCATGGATTGTTTCTATACATAATAAGAGATATGAGAAAGAAGAGGTCGGCAGCCTGCTTATCTGACAGCAGAAAATAAATACACACTTCGATGCTAAGAACAGAGGAAAGATGTTTTAGCTGTCGTATTCCTTCTATAGTGCAATTCCTTCACACTCTGATATTGAAACAGCTCTGACAAACTTTGTAAGCTGCAACTTTATCACAGTGTTTGTTTTGATGAAGCCTAATGCCTTTGCAGAGCTGGAATAAAATTCAATTAGAAATAAAATCAATTTCATCCCTAGTGCAGTTTTATCATGCTTTGTTTAAAATTAAGCTGAAGGGACAGGCAGCATCCGTGGTGATAAGCTGTGTATGCATCACTTGGTAAACAGCTGGTTTGGTATCATCTGGTCAATTAGAAACCAAATAAATTGAGAGTTAGAAAATTCATTTGTGGCCACAAAACTCTCTTTTAATAGATTTCCTTAAATTTGTATGTATAGTACATACTGTCTGACCAAGTGCAAGCTCCTTTCATTGACAGCTAACTTTCAGACAGTACATAGCACACCACAGCCTGCCTTTGGAGTCTCAGTGTTTCCCCACATTCAAAACAACATTCAAAATGAACCCTTAGGACACTGCTTCTACTTTTTCTATCAACTCTTCAGAGATGTTCACTGTGGAATTTGAGAGCTTTATAAGCATGAAGAAGATTTGTATACATTTTAATCCATATGCTGTCCCCATTTTACAGCTAGAAAATTATGTTTTACCTTAGCGTCCCTGTGCCTCGTTTTACTAATTTTGAGCGTTGAGACACACAGAACTTCGTAGCTTTTGTAATATGTACTTTTGCATGGCACTTGACATAGAAAATACATATGCTGTTCAAGCACAGCTGCCTTAGGTTTCAGTCAAGTTGCGAGCATTCAGTACTTCAACAATCACTAGAACACCCTTTTTAGATCCTAGGAAAATAAATGCTCCTGGGAGTTGCCTTACATACAGCTGGGTACTCAACAGTGGCATTAGAAGGTTCCCTAAAGAACATTCCCTAAAGAACAAGTGAGGAATGACAAGTGCCTAAGGATGGAGGTTTGGGTTTCTACAATAGAAATCTGCAGATGCATTTAATCTGTATGCATGCAATTTCCTAGATGTTTTGAAAAGCAAGTGTTTTCCTGCACAAGTAAGTTTGGGGATTTTCATACCCATACACAAACCTCTGCCAGCTTAGACAATGTCTCTGCTCCAAAGTCACACTGTCCTGCTCTCCTTGTCAGTTCCTTCCAGTCTCTGCCCCAAATTTACTCCTATGCTCCAGAAATGAAGCAGTTTCTTCCTGGACACCAGATGAGGTCGGCAAACATCGATGAGAATAAATTGGAAAATCTTGCTATCGGTTCCCATACACAGGCTTTAATTGTGAGCTGGACAACACCAAGCTCCATTTATTAAGACAGCGGTCAATGGATGAGTTTTACAGGGACCACGCAAGCACAATTTGGCAAAAACAGATCCCTTCAAAGTTTTATCCACTGTGTTCTTGCAAGTCTTCACCAAGCTTGTTAAGAGTTTTAGTTATTTAGACATACGAACTGAAATGGGTGGATTTAGATGGAGAACTCAGAAAATACACACCTGAGTCCCAGTTTTAAATAATTGGAAAATTCAAATAAAAGGTCACCCTAAGTTGCTTTTAAATATTTTAAAAGCAAATTTTCCCTCATCTTCTGTAGCAGCTGAACTGCTCTGGATGAAATTTAAAAATATGTAGCCTGAGGCAGGTGTTCGCGCACGGAATAATTTCAGTACCTTCCAATAGCTTTAAATGCCAGGGTATTCTCATTACGTATACATAAGGCAACCTCAACAACGAGCAGTGCTCCCAGCCCCACCAACAGTAATTACACAAAACTCACTGCCTGCAGCCCATATCTGCTGTACAAACCCTATGAACAAGTGACTTTACACAATGGGTTCTAATGACTAATGTACTCCCAGACCAAATAATTACTGAAGACTCAAGCTAAAGAAGAAATTCCAAATACAAGACTTCCAAGGTATGAAGATTATTCACACATAAAATTATTATGCTCACATTTATAAGCTAACAAAAATAACACAAATAACAGAACACAACATTACCACATCACCTTACACTACAGTGTTATGATATCTCTTTGCAGACAAAAAACTTTATGTAGCAAGCAAGTAGCTTTGTTCAAGTTTCACACAACAAGAAAGCCTTCAACAAACAAGAACAGAATAATGTCTCCCATTGCTCTGGGCACAGGTTCACAGCCTTCTTTATGTGTCTCAGCTGCAGGCTGTTGTTGCAACGGGCAATTTGTCTTCTCTCCAAAGCTCCACATGTGTTCTCACTTCATTTTTTGTATCTGATCTATGAATCACACCCCTATGTAATGACTCAAATCAGCTGTGATCAGAAAACAAACACAGCAAAATAAAAAAATCAGTGTACCCCAGGGCCAGCAAGCTGTTTCAGAACATTTGGATACAGCGGTCACACAGTTGGTAAAGAGAAAATGAGAAAGGGCATGAACATGCAGTGATGGGAATGGAGACCACTCCCTTCTGCAACAATTTACAGCTTGAGAGCATTGAGCATACAACAAGCCTGGACCTGTAGCTGCCCCCAGTCCTACAAACTCCTTGTTCAACCTCTGTGTAAACGTGTTTATTTCATACTTCATTTAGGTACAAACCTGGGCTTCCTTTCCCAAAGTTCTTTGGTTAATATTTGAAGTCCAACAGGTAAAGCACACTTCCAGCTGTTGTAGATGTTCTGACCTTAACTCCTGAGTACAGACACTCAAAAAAACACATTTGTCCACACAGCCTTATATGTGTACCATAGCATGCGGTTGACCAATAAAAACAATCTTTCATCCTTAAGAACGAATGCTCTGCTCCACAGGTATGAAAGCTGTATGACTTGTACCAATAAAATCAACCCCAAAGTACACTTCTCTTGTAATATGTTTGACTTCTACTGCTCAGAAGTCACAGTGATCTTAACACTCAGCTTCCCTATCATCCCTTCTCTCTCTTTTTGAAAAAATGATGCTGTGTGTGGGAAACGTCTCTCCTTCTAGATTACTTTACTTTGCACAGACTACACCACTCTGCGTGAGAACAAGTTAAGACCATTTCATGGTATGTGAACCCAGACAAGTTCTGGATCTTCCCAGAAACTAAGTTTTAGCAAAATGCAAACTCAGTGACAGAACTACAAAATGCAGCAGCAGGGCTGTAACAGGGAGCTACAACAGAGACCCAATGGAAGCAAATTGCTGTGGCAGTCCAGCCAAAAAACAGGGGAAGCTCAATGGAAAATCTCCCCTAACAGTTGCTGGTCCAATGACAAATCATTGTTGCAGCCCACATATAAAGCTAACGCAATCCCAGAAGGACAGCAGACACTCTGCAAGACCTGGAAGAACGAGCCAGCAGAAAAGAATCAAGGATCAAGCCCCTTGAGAGGAACGTTGCCACATCTTGCTGGATCTCACTGAAACTAGGTCAGATGCAGTGTGCAAGTAGGTATACAGAGCTGGAGGAAGCAGTGGGTGGGAAGAAGGGCAGTTGTTTAGTTTAGGCTTTATAAAATTTGCCCCACTCCTCCTCCATCCTCGCAAATAAGTCAGGCACTTAAAGAACAAAGGAGCTGACTTTTGAAAGTTGCCTGTTTAAAAACACATTCATGCAGTAACTCAAAAATACTGGAATCATTAACAGTAATCATGCCATACAACAGAACAGCTTCTACATATACTGACCACCTACTACTCAAAAATAATTAAAAATATTAAAGCCAAAATATACCACTCAAATATGAGAAACACTAGATAATTCGAGAAAGAATGGGGTATGTGTTTACTCATAGAAATTTTGAAAATAATCGTGCAAAGCAATTGTTGCATGCATTTTATGCCTTTCCTGCCAATTCCCATCACCCAAACTAACTCCAAAACCCATCTCAGCCTATACTGAGACAGAGGTGGTAGTGCCAGCTCGAAAGCAGTACAGCAACCATCACTCTGCCCCCTCTGGCAGAGATTATCGCTGGTGTGGGCAATCCCATTGGTTCTATTTTTTTGGAACACTTCACTTAAATATTACTTTCCAAACTTCTCTAGAAATATCAGCTTTGCACAGCCCTCTGTAACAGAGAGCATTTTCACACCCTGCTTACAAATACAATCAAAATCACTCCCACGACGTACTTGGCAGGATGCAGGCCAGCACTCACTGCTACCATCTCTGGGACTGTCACTTCTCAGTGCATGATCCATTGCCATGACAGTCTCTAAGTATGGTACAGCAGTTACCAAACTACCTCCACCTGTGCCTGGGACATTTTGTGTTGTCCAGTGGCACCCCCTGCAATCGCCACACCAGGAGCTGCAGTATAATCCTGTGGCAAATCTAACCCAAGCTTTTTCTTGGTCATAAAGTCTGAAGGTCTGTATAGGAAAGCCTTCAGGGGGTATTCAGATTTATCTTTCCATTACTAGTATATTGTACAGTGCCTCTGCCTCCTCTTTATTATTGGCCTTGGCAAAGGTATTGTTGAGAACCTGCTGACTTGCACCTCCTGAGTGGCTGACCTTTGCCATGGAAACTAAGAAATAACCAACAGGACATATTTTCTAAATTATGCTACTGTTCAGACAGAAAAGACACCTGAGACAAAACAGATTGAGGACATGCCTGCTAAGAGGATGCAATGAGAAGAGTAAGAGTCTCTTCTGCTCCATCAGGAATTGTAGAGGAGAATGTCAAAGCCTTCAGCCATTGGAGCTTCTGCACTCTCCTGACAAGCTGAGGTACCTGCAACAACAACTTTCCCAAACACAGCATCCCTCCGTGACACCAACATAATCTGTATCCTTAGCCCTGCTGCTGAAACATGGGAAAATCACAAGCTGCGAACAGTCTGAACACATTCCCTTTGGCTAATGCAGGAGTTGTTTTTTATTTTTGAAGTATCAGCATTCAAGATAATTTACCTAAAGCTTGTTTCCAGTGTTTTTCATTATGCAGAGCTGCCCAATACCACTGTGGATATTTCTTTTTAAGTCCTAATTGTTTTACTGGGTCTTGCAAAAGAGGAGTGCACACCCAGTCAGCAATCTTCCTACCAAATTCAAAACAGATGTTCATAAATAATTTAAAAATCCATATTGAAGCCAAGTACACAAAGTTCACCAAGACAGCCCACTGCTGTAACAGACATGTTGCTCAAGTTAGCTTTCAAGGCTACTTCCAGCTGGATAAAGCTTCCACTAGCTCTGGCAACAGCTGACACAATCTGATGGTCAAAAAAAATAATCACCTTTCCTAGTGATCACCATCATCCTAGTGTGGCTTCCTCCTATTCTTCTTTGCAAACAGTATACAGCAACAAAAATAGGAGTATTTGATGCAGAGATAAACACAAGACATTAGCAGTGCTCTTTAGGGATACAGGCCTGCTCAAACAGTTAACGTTTTCTTGATCACACTCAGGCTTTTGCTATGCACCTCAATGAGCTCAGAAGGGAAGCACAGGATGGCCTCCTCTGGTGTCCCTGTCTGCACCATCTTTGAAGCCTTCTACTGCTAGAACAAGAGCGTCAGGCACCTTCCTTGAGCAATCCAAGTCAGAAATGCTCCTAATGATCCACCAGTGCTTTGAAGAGCCTTGTATGAAAGAAAGCAGCATTATTCCAGAGGCACTGAAGGGAGGAGAGAAGAGGAGAAGAAAAATTCCTCTCATCTGTCATACCACCAGCATTTGAGAAGCATGAAATAAGGACAATTTCAACAACATTGCAGACCAGTTCCATCCAAAGGAGATACTCCTCCACCCTTGATTTCCCAGCTGTTTACTGAGTAACAGGACAGTACAATTAAAAAAACTTTTGCAACAAAGAAATTCTGTGCAAAAGCCATGTGATTTCCATGCAAATCAGAATTTGGATACACTGGTCAGTCTTCATTCCACCAGGACAGAGCCTCCATCTGTGATCACAGTTAAATAAATGACAATTTCACTGAATGCTGCAATGCACTCTCATCCCTCTTGCTTAGTTCTCTCTCCCATTGTACCACAATCAGCTCCTACAGTGAACCCTCACCTTCTAAAAAACAGAGGTGCAGAACTGTCTTTTTTACAAAATCTATACTACAGAAGGAAAGACTGCAGGAAAAGTTTAAAAGAGTAGGATTAAAAAAAAGGAAACTGGGGAGCACCTAGCCAAAGGTCACATAAATCCCCTGTGCACAGTGTCAGTATCTCATCCTGTACTACACACAGGTCCCACAAGACCAGCTTCCAGCCTCTGCACCATGCCCCTGGGGAGGTGTGCAGCTATCTCCACACATACAGTCACATCATCATACATAAATACAATTTTTCTTCAGACAGAATATGTGGTCTTAGAGAACAAAACTGTCCATCACAGAGATGGTTTTACAGGTTATTTAATTACAATTTTCCCCATTTTTGCCCTACATTTTTCCTATTTTTCTCATTAAAAAATCTGATCCCTGCTCCAAAACATTCTGATGTTTGTAAAGCATTTCTAGGACTCGGGAGGAAGTGTTTTATGATAACACAAAGCGTCAGCTAGAAGGGCTTCAAAAGGCTGCAGCAGTGTTGTTGCAGCTGCATTTACACAGGCAACACGTGAGAGAAGAGAGGACGGTCAGCCTCTTACTTCAGAGAGCAGACTGCCAGAAGTTAGCGCCTTGTGCTCCTCCCAGCTTACATCAGTACAGGCACAGCATTGTCACGCATCATTACAGAAGCATCACCTTCTGTGGAATGGGTTTTGTTAGCCTTGAAGCATTTGGTCACTCAGGACATGCAGAGTTTTACCCTTTTAAGAAGCTACGAAGTCTGTCCTTTAAAAAAAAGAGGTAGAAAACTTGCTCTGTGCGACTGCAAGAAGAATACATCTGGGAGAGGCTGCTGATGCAGTACCCTTACAAAAACCACAGATGTGGCTCATGAAAACCACCTGACAGTGCCAAGTATAGACACTAAGAGAAAAGAGCAGCCACCTCAAGGATAGTTTACATGAAACTTTAAATAATAGACTGGGCAAAGGAAAATAACTAATTAGAGAGAGAGAGGAAAAGATGTCAAGATAACCTTAACAATAGACTAGGTTACAAAACAGGATACACAAACATTAAAATACATTTCTTTGGGAAAGGGACCTCCTTTAAAATAAAAAAATTGACCCTTAACTTTTCTTTCAAAAAACCCAGTTCTTATGTGGAAAAAAGCTTGAAATCATGAACAATGCATAACCAATGGAGTTTGTGTAGATTTTCAGATGCAACTCTTAGAGGCTGGAAACAGTTCTTTTCCACCATCAGGTACCAGGCCCAAACCCTTTTTGGGTTTGAGAGTTCAACTACAACCACCTGAAACGAGGAACTGTTAAGTAACAGGACACAGAGGAACAATACTCATTTAACCATCATAGAAGACAGAAATAGCCTGCCATTTGTCTGGGTGTGAGAGGATGAATCACCAAAGTAGCAAGGAAAATATAAATTATAATAATCCTATTGAGAAGTGTAAGGAGATAGAGTAGAAGACAGACATTTCGCTACACTGTGTTCAATGGCCAGCCTTACTCTCAATTTTGTTATAGCATGAGAAGTATCTAGCAGTACTAAACTGACTAAAAGGTGTTTTCTACTCTTGCCTGTTACCTGGTATTTCCTATATTTATACCTTTTCTTTTCACTGAGACTTTCCAGTCCCTTTGAAATCTAGAACAATTTTGCCATTTTCTTGAAAGGATGCAGTATTTTGCCTTACATTTGAAAGTTACATCCATATGAAACATATATTGAATAATAAAACTAAATTATAATCCATCCATTTTCCAGAAAAAAAAAAATCACTTTTTTTTTTTTTTTTCCTAATGTAGAACATACCTATTTTTAGGCAAGTTAGTTCTGTACATATGCAGTAGAGAAGATCATAGAGATAATGGCAACGTTCCATTAACAGAGAGCTCATTTACCCAACACACACTTGGGTCTCGGAGCAAAATTTAAGTCAGCTAGAGAAAAGTATCAAAAAGAAGAAAAAAAAAATGCTCACATCAACCTTTATAAGGAAAACAAATGCTCTCTTCTTACTCACCCTGATTTTTCGAGTTAAACAAAACCAAAATCTTCTTAAACACTATTTAAAAAGTACAGAAAAGGTACTTTAAGCAGAAGTTGAAATTGTAAACAAAAATAAACTGCATAAATATTCATGATGCCAACACTTTGTGTCATTACACAACTTCAGATGTATTTGATGCAAACACATATCACAACAAACTGAATAAACTAGGGTAATGCCTTTTTTTTTTTTTTTAATACAATTTGAAGAGCTTTTGAAATAGGAACCTAAACGTTTCTGGTTATGTTTTTTTCAGAATACATTCTTCTTAACAATGGACTTGTTAAGGAGTTTTAAGATGGAGGTACAAGAACCAGAACAGGGTTGCTTCAAAACATGCTTGAAAAGGACAACAGCAAGCAACCAGTGAAGAATACATGCTGCAAAGGGAACGTGCTTGTATAACCAGGACAAGCACATTCATTTTGATGGGGTAGGAGGGAGAGCAACAATAGCCTCCAATCTGCTATTGCTTTAATTTTATTTTGACACAAATTTTAACAGCTGTTATACACAAGATGCAAGGAAAGTTTTTTACCACAGTTGCTACAAGTTACCACTCTTGTCAATAGAAGGCAAGATTGCTGTATCTAAGTTCTTGTAGTTATGCAAAAGCATATAAAACACCTAATATCACAATCTCTAAAACTGCCACAAGTCCTTCTTACAAAAAAATATTTCCTTCTACTTACCATGATGTGCTTAGAAATAACAAACGAGGTGGATCACAGCACAGAGACTAGTTAAAGAAGCTGATCCTGCAGCAGATTAATAAAGGCATACCCAACATCATTTCAGAATGATTTTTAAAGCAATTCTGTTTTTCCACATAGTTCTCCTTTTTAATAGAAATTATTTTTAAATATTAACATGATATCACGCCAATCAGCATAGCTCTTCTCCCACCTGTTCACCACAGCTAAACTCAACATACTGCCAGATTAACCTAAATACACTGAGCATTTTTCTGGAAATCTTAACACAGAAACTTTCCTTACTACCCCAGGTAAATACCTCCCAGCCTTAGGCTTGCTCACAGCCATCACCTGTGGTCTTAAGACCTCAAACTGAACTCCTCCTTCCCTATCCCACCCTCAAGCCTCATTACCTACTGCACCACAGGACAGCCATCAGAAGACTGTGCCACAGAGAACAGCAGCAGCAAGGAAAACTCCTACTGAGGCTCAGACTGTGATGGTAAACACCTGCACAGCTGGAAACTGGGTTCAGCTCTGCCACCTGGGGCTACCCAGACATTTCTTGGAAGCTCTCATTTGCCAGTGTGTGGAGGACAGGCTCCAGAGCTCACTCATCAGGGGACTGGGAAATAAACAGCTGGCCAGGAGGCCTTCAAGCCAGAACTTAGAGACAATACAAAGCAGGAAAAAAAAAAAAAAAAAAAAAAAAAAAAAAAAAAAAAAAGGACAGTTTTCTCATTAATTCACCTATTTAGTGACTCTTTCAGGTGACATGTCCATGAGGTTCATGGAGAATGGGAGTTCTTTTGTGAGTTAATAAAGATCCCAGAAAGACCCTTTCCAATAAGAGCTCCTTGCCAGTCTCTCCTTTTCCAGGCCCCAGAGGCAACTGGAAAGAGATTTTCAACAGCAGAAAACACCTTCTGATTTGCTGCGTGCTGCACAAGGAGCCCTCAAACTTCAGGGCCCAATGAAGTATATTAAACTCTCAGAAAGTGTCACAGGGAAACTTGCATGCCCTACTGTCAAGCATTTAACTATCACCGCTATCGTTTTACAATTTCATTAAATAAACTTGCTCTGAATGATTTTACTCAGGCCACAATCCGTGAAGGAATGCAATGACTTCTAGTCACTGGTGCATGCTAAGAAGAGAATCCTATAGTAAGGCATGAGGCTTCTCATTGTGGTATAGAACACTGTTTTTTAAAAAATATATATTTTTTCCTATCTTAAAGATTGTGTACATAGCAGTTCCCAAAGTCCATTGTGAAAAGGGAATGCATCCTGCGTAGGGATCATGGAGGAAAAGGCTTGAGGCAGCTGTGCTCCATCCCAGTCATAAAATCATAGAATGGTTTGGGTTGGAAGGGACCTTCGAGATCATCTAATTCCAACCCCTGCGGATGTTCAAAAAGGGGCAAATGCAGTTATGGAGAACAAGTATTGATGTGAATACAATGTAAATTTTTTTTTGGACTTATAATTGTAAATGTATAATAAAGATTTTTGGAAGCAATGCCACTCCATGGAACATACTCAAGGGATTTTTCTCCCAGGACAATGCTTTGATGCCAAAAAATAGCTTAGTCTGTTACAGAATGACTGATGGCTTTATGAGGAACATTAGCCACAAGCTATTTAAAGTTCGGTTGAAGGAAAAATTTCTGCACTCTGTACAACTGTATGTGCTTTTTAACCATGGGGGATTATTACTGCATAGGAGCCGAAGAGCTGGCACAGTGTATCAAAGAATACATTGTGATGGGTGCTGAACAGGCACAAAACAAAAAGACCACTCTTTGACTTATGCTAAATAGCAAGTAACAGATGTGATTAAAATGGTTTATAATAAATAGATACTTTAAACAGGAAGTAGGATTTTATGCCGTCTCATATTAAGATATTTTAACTTCCAAATATTCTGTAAACTTCAAGATGCAAAAACAAAGTTCACCTGCCCATGTAAATTAAATGAAGCAATAAGTACGTTAAGTTTGGACAGTCTAGAAATGACCAACTAACACTCTGGTGCTAGCGTTTGCTCATAGCTCCTCCATTTTCAGGACTCTTAAAAAAACAAAGTTTAATCACTGAAACTGCAATTTCACATATTACAGTTGTTCAGTTTAAGTCAAACTCTTTTTTTGCAGGTAGCTTTTCCTTTTGAAGCACCTAGGAGATCCTAGGAGTTCTGGCAACACGGGTGCCTGTTAATGGCCATCACGGCGTGCGTGTATAGAGAGGGTGAGAGGTATAGATGTATGTGACCACAACATGGAGGTGGTTTAAGGAACTGAAATAGATAGAGTAGGCCTCTATTCTCACTGAAAGCTTTAGGCTTTCCAATCTTTATCAAGGTTATGTTAAGTGTTCACATATGTGGTATTTGCCTTGAAGTCATTATGTTCAGGCAATTTTGGTCAAGACCATAAAGCAAGTTCAGAGCATTCACAGACAACATTTGATCACTTCTCCTTCCCCATTATGAAAAATTAAAAGCCACATGAATGCTGACCTCAGCTGTGGCAACACAATGCAGGGAATAAACAGCAATTGCCTTTGGGGCCAAATACCACAGGACTGGTCTCTGCCTGCCCATCCCACCAGTTATGTTGCCACAGATGGAGCAGGTGGAATTATTTAACAGTCTCTGCCCATTTTATCCCCTGGGTTTCTGTTCTCCCCTTTGTACAAACATTTCCATTTCAGTGTCAGATTCATTTCACCCTTGTGCACCAGGCTATGTTTCTGTTCCCACCCACCGTCCCAAACTGTACCCTCTATCAAACTGCTGGCCCATGCTGACTACATCAAAGGTTTTGCTGTTTGTCACATCCTACCTGTCACAGTTATAGGCACCATTTAACGCTGTAATCACATATGCACTGTTAAATACTACCCATCGGGGAAGAAACATTAAGTCAAAAGCGATGCAAAGCCAAATGCTATTGTGGGGGAAACAAATCTAATTGGCTGCACAATGAAATACATCGTCAAGTCAAGCTTGGAAGTATTTGCAATCTCCAGAGAACTCTGCAAGGCTGAAACAAGAGTCCTATGGTCTGAACAACTTGATCTCATTAAAATTGGCATTTTAATGTTAATACTTTGCATTTGTGTACTGCTTTTTATTTCTAGAGAGTATAATGGCAATTTATTTAACCAGTCAGTGCTAGGAATGACTAACAGTACTGAAGTAGATTAGAAAGAGAATATCTCCAACATTAAAGCAACACTAAGCAATGAAAGGCAAAACTTCGCTTAATTCCATGCTGCAACTCTTCTTAAAATATGCCACTATCTATCAAAATCTATTCTATCCACAGCTGTGTTATAGATCAGAATTATATTACCCAAACATCTGTTTTTTTAATGTCATTATAGCTAGAATATTTTTGGATCAGTTGGTTTTGAGCCAAAGGTAAAATTTATTGAACACCTGTACATTACTTTCCACCTTTCCCTTTTCTATTATTTAAGACTAGCAGTATTTTTGTTGTTGTTTTGTTTGCGTGTTTGTTGTTTGTTTTATTTTTGTTTGTTTGGCTGGTTATTTTTTAGTTTGTTTGGGATTTGTTTTTACATTATTTTACTTTATTCAGCATTCTCTGGTATCTTCCTGCAAGAAATCCACAGGCACCTCTTCCAGAATCCTTTTCCCCACACCGTGAAAGGGTTATTTATCACACAAGGCACTGAAGTCGGAAGGCAGCGTGGGACTCCCACTAAGCAGAAGGCAGCCTCCCGTCTCCGGGACAGCCCTCTGAGCAGTGCTGCCCGGAGTGCGACAGCATTCCTCTGACAGGAGGCGTAAATTACAAGCCACTAAAATCTCCTTTTCCTTCCCTTTCCTCCCCAAACTTCCACAGCCCGCAGGCTTTCAGCCACACGTTAGATCCAGAGCCCACCAGCGCGCTGTGCTGCGGCACCTTCTTGTTTGGGGGAGTTGTCCTCAAGCCGTCCTGCCTGCCTGCCGCCCTGCCCATCGGAGACCAGCAGCCGGGGGGGGGGAGCGGAGCAGCGCCGAGAGCCAGCGGCAATGTCCGGCTCTGGGAATCCCAGCAACAAGGGAGGAGGAAGAGAACCCTTCCTCACGCTGGATGACAGCCGTCCCGTCTGGGGGAGCTCAGGAGGAGGGACGCCTCGGGGTCCCCAAGCAAGCCCCCCGAGCCACTGGGCGCGCCGGAGGGACGCTCTCCCTTCCCGTCCCCCTTCCCCATCCCGGCCCCGCCTCGCCCCGCAGCTTGTCACGGAGCCTCCCCGCGGCGCCCCCACGCACCTTTTGCTCAGCGGCCGGACCCGCACGGCCACCTTGACGTTGGCCATGGCTCGCCTCACGCCCCGCCGCCCGCGCCCCGGCCCCGCATCGCGCCCCCGGCCCCGCGCCCCGGGGCGGAGCCGCCCGGCCCCGCCTCGCCTCGCCCCCGGGGCGGGCCCGGCCCGAGCACAGGCCTGGGCCCGCTGCCCTCACGCCGCCCTCCCCGGGTTTGGCGAGCAGAGGGGTGGCGAAAGGTAGCCCTCCTGCAGCTTTGATATCTCCAAAGATCAATTTAAAGCAATTTTCATCTGTTGCGTCGACAAAGGTTTTACACTTAATGTTAAACCCACCAAAACGTGAACAATTTGCGTTTAGAGTAGTGTCCCTGTCAGCTACCAACATGACCGAGGAGATGTGAGAGCAAATATCATTTGTCAGCCACGACCCGGACAGCAGGCCTGTTAGGGAACTTCTGACTGGCAAAAGAAAACAAAAGGTGTTACTTCTACTGCACTTGTTTCTGGCTTTGGTATTTCTAAATATTAGAAACTGGCTGCATCTGAATACTCAGCTACAGTACTTTTACACCAGATAGGATCATGTTATAAAGCAATCTATGCTTACATTTCCATTTAATTACACTATTTATATATACTTTAAGTATAGACCTCCCCATTAGGTGACTTGACTTAAGCTCCAGAAACATGGAATCTGATAAATAGTATAATACAGAAACCTTCCAGAATGAAGTCCATGATGAATCCTTCAAACTTCAAACTTGCTTTTCCCAATTCATGACCCACCACAGCGATGTTAAAACAAATACGACCAGCTGTGAACCACTGTTTGATTCAACAGATTTAGCCCTTCAGTCACACTAAAGAAAGAATCAGTATGTAAATAGCAAATTGCATTAGCTAAACCCTGCCATCTCCACAGACAGCTTTCCAATATTGGAGTAAAACAAGAAAATATGCTCAACTCTTTAGCTATGGCAAAAGAATAAAATAATCTTCATTTCAAGGAATTATAATGAATAATCTAACTAGAAG